AACATTTAAACATTTACATTATTTTTTGGATCTGCTATTATAATAACTTAAAGTTTGTATATATAAAAATTGAATTAATCATCATGGGAATATATTAAATGTATTTCCATAATTCTTGAATTTATTTTATTTTTTATAAATGCAGAGTAGTCTATCATATACTTCCAGATATCAGCATTACATATGAGTAAATTTCTGTATTCTTAAATTTGTAAAATTGAGCTATATAAATGGCATTTTTCTTATGAAATAAATTTTTAATAAAATTTTTGTTATTTCATTATTAAAATATGAGTTAATTACTATAAAGGATGATATATATTTATCTCTTTTATAAATTTATAATATATTGAATTAATCTTAATATTATATAAGAAATGCTCCGATGTTATTTATTTACGAATTAAGAATTTATTTAAATGAGGACTCTTAAATATGAGTTGATTACAATAAAAGAGTAGATATTTTATTAAAAGTTGAATTCAAACTAATTATGCTTAATTGATCAAGTATTAAGTTTTAGAATATTATTTTGTGCTTTATATTCAAGTTAATAAAAAAAAACACAAGATGTAATGAAAATTATTTAATCTATATAGAAAATATTATCTATAACCTTAAGAAACATAATCTAACTTAAAAAAACAGAATTATATTAATATAAGAGATTGAATTTTGTATTCAATTTAGAAATAATTATACTAAAACAATAGCATTATTACTATTATTTTCCCAATATGTAATACATATCAGCATTACTTATAAATATTTGATAATTCTATTTATATTCTTTATTTTATTAATAATTAATTAAAAACATAAAATATATATTTTTAATTAAAGTCATTCAAAAGAAGCTTAAAAATTTCAAAACCCGATTAATGACTGAAAAATGGTAATATCATTATTAATTAGACAATTTAGTTCTATATTTTATAACGCATATTAAACATCTTGATATAAATAATATATGGAATCATAATTTAATTTTTCAATCATCTTGCTTAACAATTAGATATCTAGGATCTGATATATACAAATGATAATAAATATTTGACAGAATAATATCTAATAGGATTGATCTGTTTGATTTTAACAATATTAAGTATCAATATTCTTTAAATCTGCAAACATATTTATTTAAAAAATAGTTAAAAATTAATGACATTTTAGCACCTTAGTATTATAAATCAATAATTAAAGAATCATTACAAATACTGTAATTTATTGATTTTAAAATCATTTAAGATCTATAAAGTGATTGAATATTCAAATGTTAAATTCTTAATCATTTATGAGAAGATGTTGTTCTCAAAAATTCAACACACATTATGATTATAAAAAAAATTCTTATGACCAACAAAAATGTAAATCGTAATAGTTATGTGTAAAAAAGTTTTGATAAAAAAGATACTTCTTTATTATTTATTTGAATAGCTTTGATTATAATTAGTTTTTTTAAGAAATAAAAAAAATTTGCTGAGATTTCATTTGTGAATATTAGTTATCCATCTAATTTTATAATTATATAAATAATTAAAACTGACAATGTCATTTCAATAAATATACTCCAACCTACATGTTTTACTTTGATTAAATGATTAATTAAATTAATCTACCTGGTTAAATGAAACTTTAAATTAACCCAGAAAATTTTTATGAGAGTTACATCATTGATGACACACTTAGACGAAAAACTCCTCTAATAGATAAAAATAACTAATAAAAGAATAAGTATGTACAGAATAATCTTTGAAAGAGTGTATGACATCTGAAAGTACAACTTTGTCTCAAATGGTTAATGTAAATATACGTAATGTAGTGAATATTTTTATGGTTGAATTACATTTAAGAAATATTTATTATTTGAATATCTCATTGAGTATAATTAAAATAATTTGAAATTATCCAATCACATTTAAGGTTGTGTTTAACAGTTACGGCCTTGTTATACTTACAAAAAGTATTGGAAAATTTATTTCTGTTTTGATAGAATATGCGAATATGAATAGAATAAAGAAAATTTTAGTAGTTGCATCTGAAAAATTGCATAATAAAAAACAAAAACAATAGATAAAAGATTGCCTATACATAAGGCATTTCTTCATGCAGAACCAGATTATGCTCTGATAATAAAATATTTAAAACAGATAAAGAATGTGACAGCTTTTCAAAGGGATACATAATCAATAGTATACAAAATTATGTACAGATTATTAAGGAAACTGAGTTATTGTAGAAAAATATTTGGAAACATTTCTACTTGAAGATGATAATGTTACAACATTAATGGTGTTACTGTTACTGCTCATATTGAAGATCTACTGAAGGTAGATCGTGTGGATATATATTTATGGTTATTAAATTGTATTTTAGATAAAACTAAATAGTTATTTAGGCATTTGCTAATAAGATGAGCAGAATTAGAATTATTGTAGCCTATTAAATGTATTGATATTATATCTCCAATTTTAAAGAAAACTGTAATATATGTATGTTTGATTGCTTTAATTATCGAAAATATTGTTATCAAACTTAATGTAATTATAAATTATCAATAACATATGGAGTTGATGATCAAGAAAAGAAGATAGTAAAGTCTATCAAACAATACTCTCTAGACTTGCTGAAGTCTTCTTTATAATTAAGGGAATAATTATGATAAGGAAGATCTTTATGCTAATAAATATTTTTTAAATATGGGAATAAGTTTTTTTATTTTACATCATCAGATTTCTGTATATTTAAGCAGATTTTTGCTTTAATGAGTTACTATTTAGAATTGATAATAATAATAAACATCAATGGATTTAATTAATTATAATTAGAAAAATCAGAAGATGATTTGCAAATTGTTAAATTGTTGTAAACAGAAAAAACATTACAAAATAAGCCCTCAATTTATATAAATTTTTATATTTTTTCAGATAAAATTTTGATAAAAAAAGTTATACTAATACAATTAATAATGTATTTATGATCAATTTATAAAATTAAGAATAGCTTAGACGATAAGTTGAATCATTTAGCGCTTTAATAGTAGGAAATTCTTCTTATTATAGGTATTAATAAATGTTCCATTTTTATAACAAAGATATAGATAATTTGAAATATCAATAGCAAAATCTGCTAACCCATTATATAACCAAATTTTTCCCAAGAGTTTCAATAATTAACTTTTTTTATTTTATTTCTGAATGGTTGTATTTAAAATGATATACTTTAGCTTCATTCTTAATTATTTTTAGAGACTTCTACAAAAATACAAAAAGAATTGTTTAAAGACTATGACCCACTATAATTCATATTTTATTCTTTTATATTTTTATTCATTTGAATCCTGCATTTACGAATATTTTATAAAGATTAACTTGATTCTCAATTCAAATTCAGTGAAGTTTTCATTAAATTAAATAATAGATTACATAAAGCCAAGCCATAATTTCCACATAAAACAATTCCTAAATTGCAATCTTGATGATCATGTTTGCTTAAAGAAGATTATGATGTGTAATCTCTAAATCTATAATAAAAATAGGGCTTTGAAATCTTATCATGATTTTTGTTAATAGATGTAATAATTTTCAGCAGGTTTTAAAATAATTTTACTAATATATTAATGTATAAGTATTAATTATATATTGTGAAATAAAATATATTAAAAAAATGGGTTAATAAGGAATTTAAAAGTTAAAATGTTAGAAAGATGATCATTAGGATGAAATAGATAGTGTTTGTTATAATTAGGGTTGCACAAAATTCAGATTAAATTGTTTTAAATGTATGAAGAAGGGGATCCATCATACTCATCTTGATGATGTTGAAAAAATAAACAGTTTGAAGGATTATATTGAAATGTAAAACAAGGAATGTGATAATTTAATTAATAATCTTAATAAATTAGTAGAAAGAGTAAATCAATCATATTCATAATATAAATAGGGAATCAATAGAAAATATTCTCTATTAAAAGAAAGATTATTGTAATTGAATTCATAATAAATAAACGATTTCTTAAATTCAACTATAACATTTACAGAATATAAATAATCAATAACAACTATCATCTCAGATAAGATTAAAAACTTAGATGATACTTTTAATAATTTATATGATTAATTACAATTATTATCATTTGATTATTATTAAATAAATGATAATGAAATCAAATTATCAAAATAAATGTGTAATCAAGGTATTACATCAACTAAATATTTAGGTATTAATGTAGCTTAGGAATAAAAATATGATGAATCAATATAATTATTAGATAAATCAATTTAATTAGATCCGAATAACTAGGAGGCACTATGGCGCAAAGGTAATGATCATAATAATTTATAATTAGGTTAATGTTTAAGACTTTTAGAGAGATATGAGGATGCAATCACTTGGTTAGACAAAACATTACTTGTTGACCCTAAACTTGTTAAGTCTTTATGTAATAAAGGTAGATTTATTTTGGATTGATTTATTAAGGTAATGTTTAACAATGTTAACGAGATATGAGGATGCAATCACTTGGTTAGATAAAGCATTACTTATCGATCCTAAAGATGTTGATTCTTTATGGAATAAAGGTAGATTTAATTTGAATTGATTTATTAGGTTAATGTTTAAGACTTTTAGAGAGATATGAGGATGCAATCACTTGGTTAGACAAAACATTACTTGTTGACCCTAAACATATTTTGTCTTTATGTAATAAAGGTAGATTTAGTTTTGATTTATCAGGTGAGTGTTTAAGAAAACTGAAGAGATTCGATGATTCTGCGAAATACATAGATTTAGCCCTTCACATTAATCCTAATGATACGTTTTCACTTAATTAATAAGGTATATATTTAATATATTTTTAAAGGATTATTGTTAGAAGATTAATAAAAATATGAAAACGCTCTCACTTATTATGAAAAATCATTAACATTATCACCTAATAATTAATAGACTATAATTAGGAAGCGTATAATTAATTATTAAATTAGAATTATGTTTGACCCTTTTAAAGCAATGAGACTTTAAATTATAAATATATTTATAATTATAAAAATATTATAAAAAATCACTAACTTATTTTTGCAACATAGAATAATATTTAATGTCACCAATTTTTATTCCTAAACTGGAGATTGTTGTTAAAGTATATAATATCAATTAAAAGAAAACTATATTGATAAATAGACAAGTAAATTTAATTATAAATTAAAAGACAAATTACTTAATATGTTATTTTATGGAGAGAGAAATGAATTCCTTTTGTGTCTCATTGTAGGAATTTCTATATTATAAAGAAAATAAATCTCTCTCTAAATTGTTATTGTTTTTTCAAAGATTTAAGATAAACTTAACTCAATCTAAGCCTTTTCTTGATAAGCAACTTAAAACTTAAAATTTAGAAGAAACTTTATCTTTTTATCCACTTTTTTACAATAAATATCTACATTTAATATATTTTTAAATAATAATAAATAAATTCAGATTCAAAATTACTAAAATTAAACTCAAAAGAAAAAAATACAGTTTTTACCAAAAATAATATCATCTATAACAATCCATTTGCTTATCTTACTTTTATTTTATTTCTTAAAAATCTTAAACAATAGATTCACTATTTTTCTCTTTGTCTTATTATTGTCTTTTGATTTGTTATCCATCTTTACAATCATCTACTTAACTCTATTATTCCCAAAACTTGCCAAACCTCTTCCAAAGTTTATGACAATTAAATATAATCCTATATCCAAGTTGAGATTTCTTATTTTTTTAACACATTTCAATTATTATTATATATATCATTACTCTGTAACTAAATATGTATTTCTAATAAAAAATTATTAATATTTTAAGCATTAAAACTACTAATATATTTACATCATAGATTTTGAAGCCTTTATATTCACTAAATTAATTTTAAATTTAATTAATTACTTGTAGAAAATAAAAAATATAATAATATATATGGTTATATTGCAGCTCATAAGCAAAGTGCCCAACTAATTTTAGTTTAAGATAGGGGAGTTATCTATGAAATATTTAATGTATTTTTTGAAGATGAAACTCTAATTAAAGGAATTTTGGTTAATATGTATTTAAGCAATAAAATTAGATATTTTAATTATTTCATGATAGATGTAAACATAAGTATATAGTGGAATAAGAGAGAATACTTTATATATATACATTATTTTAAGACATTTGTGTAGATTTGAATTTATTAAATGCCTTCAAAATACTTATTCATTCATTCATTTTGAAATTCTATCAACAGAATTAAGATTTATAATACATTCTAATAATTTTTAAATTAAATCTTCTTATCAGCATTGCAAAATAAGACAAGAAGATTATTGTTGTTAGATGAAAAGCACTAATACAATTTTAGGATTCTTTTGTGGAGTGTTTTATATATAATATGATATTATGTTACATCACTGACTTATTTTTGTTATTCTTTGGATAATAATTATTAGCACTCTGCTAGATATTTAGGTGTTGAACAAAATGCAAATTAATCATTGATCTATATTGAGAAATTAAATACATGTAAGCATTCCTATTGAAATCTTGATGGATACCAAAAAAATTTTTAATCCATAAAGGAAAACCCAAAACATAATTGGTAATCCCTTCTAGAAACTATATTCTATGTTAATAATCCTTTAATTTTTTAATTCAGAATTGTAAATATCAATTAATATCATAAGTAGATTCATTTTTTAATTAAATCTTAAACAATCAGACTATATTTAATAAACCAGACCTAGTAGATTAATTATGGAAATTGCTTATTATTATCTTAGGTATTTCATAGAGTGGAAAATAAACTAATTTGATAAATGATAATATGATGATTATCCAATTTCTAGAAGATGAGAATAAATATATATGATAAATTTAAGTTGTTTGTCAAATCATTTGCAGTTTTTCTTGTTTTATATTTCAATTTGTTGTTTTTACTTTCTTCATAACTTTACAGATATTATTTATGATTTCATGCTTTAAATAGTCTAATACACTACCTATTTAAATCCTGAACTCTTTGTCTTTGAAAATATTCATAAGATTAAACTTAAGTGAGGGAGAGATGATTAATAAAATATGTTTTTATGTACATCTTGAGTTTTGTTCTGGACAATAAGTCTAGAACAAACCTAAACAATAATTAGATGTAAATAACATAAGATTCAATATATATTCTAATAAGCTAACCCTTTGAGCAAAATCCATAGTTAAAGATATAGAATGAAGCTTGTAATTAATATAATTAATTTTTGTCATAAGATGAATGATATAGTTCCAACATGATCTATATATTCGAAGATATTTGTAATTATATACAACTTGTAGTTAGCATATTGATACATTATTAGATTTTCTTTTTTTTGACGTGTTGCCTCTCTTCTTATTATTTATCTGAGATTCCAATGTGTAGAAAGTCTTTATATTTCAGGTATTAAAAAAAACATTTCCAGAAATTTACAGCGGATCTTTAATAAATTCATCTAGATAAATATTGAATAAAGCTGGAGAAATTGGTGATCTTTTTGGGCATCCATCTTTATCTTGAATACGCTTTTATCTTTGTCTATCTAAGGTGTTATTGGCACTAATAAAGTCGATGATATTAGATTTTATTGGTAGTAGAAGTTTGTCTTATCCAATTGACCATATTTTAGAATAATTTTAAAAATAAAGGTGTAACAATTCAATCAATGGAGAATTTTGAACTAGTAATGAAACAAAAAACAATATTAAAAGAGAGAAAGTAATAACGTTTGATATTGAATAATATAAAAAATTTAATTATTCAATTAGACTTCAAGTATAAATTAAATTTCAATAATAAATTTTTAATAGAATTCAACTTACAAACAAAAAACTTATAATAAATCTCTATATCTTATTTCATAATATTAAGTAACCACCTCTGTATATGATGGGCAAAACATAAAATCAGAGTCTTATGACTTTTCGTTCATTTTACATCTATTTTTAGGATTTTATTTTTTATTCTAATTTACAGGATTGTTTATGATTTTTTTTACCATTATGAATTTTTAAACAAGAGTAATCCACTATAGATAACAGCAAAAATATTTGACTTTTAATTTAAAACTTGAATTAATAGTATTAAAATATTAAGGATTACTAAAGAGAATATAAGTTGTTTGATATTGTTGTGTTAAATGTTTAATAATACTCATTTGAGGCTTCA